CTCCTGCCCGGGGAATGCTGGAAAACACACTCCGGATCCCCTCCCTCCCTCCCTCCCCGCGCCGAGCTCCCGCTGGAGGAAACCACCCTCTAGTGGGCTGCGGGGTAATGGCAGCGGGGGATGCTTTGGGGGGAAAAGCGCCGCTTTGGGCTCTGCTAAATGTGGCCTCGTCCCCTAATGGTAATTTTTAAAACTTTTTTTTTTTTTCAGGGTTTGGCATATTAGATATACGTGTTAAATATACATGGATTTAACCCCGACAAGCGCCGAGTGTGCAGGGACAGGATTTGTTTCGGTTATCATTTCCTGTGCAGATTTTATTTCCCTTTCCCATTTCTCATTTATTTCCTTTCTTTTTTTTCTTTTTTTTTTATTTCCATCCCGTGAAATGGGGTGGAAATAATATGTATATACAAGAAGGGAAATAGTGGAGAAAAAAACACAAGTGTGTGCAAGAAGGCATCAAATACTGAACATAATCAAACATTTTATAAAGCAAAAAATAAAGATGTAAAGTGTTTTAATCTGTGGACTTTTCATTTGTGGGAGTACCAGTCAGTTTTAAGCCATTTGTTCTTGTCTTGTCACTCCAGGCTGTTGTCCAAAGTGTGTCTCCAGCTCTCTCAGAGCCCCTTTAGGAGTCCCCAAAGCATCTGATCCATGCTCAGGAACAAGTGACACTGGCACCTCTGCCCAGGGCAGTGGAGGAGTCCCCATCCCTGGAGGGATTTAAAAGTCGTGTGGATGTGGCACTTGGGGACAGGGGTCAGTGGTGGCCTTGGCAGTGCTGAGGGAATGGCTGCCTTCAATCTTAGAGGGCTTTTCCAACCTTAACAACTCCGTGATTCCATGATTCTGCCTTTGCAGCATCTCCCAGTCCTCATCACGCTGAGCACAGGGAAGCTCAGAGTTGGGGGACATGCCCAGGTGTCAGGACATGGTCTGGGAGGGAGATACGATGGGATCATGGCAAAGGGGGGGCTGAACCCCTCCACCAGTGAGTCACAGAATCACAGATCTTAAAGCTCATTTCATTTTACCCCCTGCCATGGCAGGGACACCTCCCACTGTCCCAGGCTGCTCCAAGCCCTGTCCAGCCTGGCCTTGGGCACTGCCAGGGATCCAGGGGCAGCCACAGCTGCTCTGGGCACCCTGTGCCAGGGCCTGCCCCCCCTCCCAGGGAAGAATTCCTTCCCAATATCCCATCCATCCCTGCCCTTGGACAGTGGAACCCATTCCCCCTTGTCCTGTCACTCCAGGCCCTTGTCCAAAGTCCCTTCCAGCTCTCTTGGAGCTACTTTAAAAATCCATCCCCTGTAAGTGTCTGTGTGCTCTGGTGGGGCTGGAGAAAGGAAAATTCCATGTTTGTGCATCCTTTGTTTGCTTTTACATGTGTCTGAATCTGCCCCTTTTGGGGGGAAATAGTAGTGGGGAACCAAAGGCTGCCCAAAAATCACTGGGAACACCTGGTGCCCTGTGCTGGAGCATCAATCCCACTGCAGGATGACGAGATGAGGATCACCAGGTAGACACCAAGTGCAAATGGTCCATCTCACCACACTTGGAGTTTGCTTTTAGCTCTCAGCCTGTCTGGTGACTAATTAAACAAACAGGACTTCCCTGCCAACAAACCCCAGCCATCTGCCTCATCCTCCAGCTCCATCCCAATCCATGCTCCAGCAGGGAGCCCCTTTGCCCTCACCTAGAGTGCTGGGAGCCCTCCTGCAGCCGGGGTGTGCTCTGGGCTGGCCGTGCAGCCGTGAGGATGCTCCATCTGCTGCGCCGGGTGCGCGTCTGGCGCGGGAGCACCACGAGCTCCGGGTGGGAACGCTCACACCCCGCTGATTTAAGGGTTGCCAAGCTGGCTGTGCCAAGAACGCCTCCCAGGTTTTGCATTTTGCATGTCTAAAGTGGGAATAGCAGCGATGGGAAGGATATTTAGGGCTGAAGCAGTAAATGCATCCCACTGGGAGGATGAGAAGGGCGGTGGGAATGGTGTCCCCCCACACCAGCAAGATGTGGAGGAGAAAAGGACCAAAGCCACAGTTTCTATCCAGTGCTCCAGGAGACACCAGGACTATGCTTACTAATTAATCCAGAAATAATCCCCCACCATTTAGGACCCCACAGTTGCTGCTCCCCAGGGTGTCCCAAGGAGGCAGCTGTGGAGGAGTGAGACCCTGACGTAACAGCACACGCCTGATGTTTGGAGGTTTCTATGGTAATTAAAAAACAGATCTGTGACCCGTGGAAGAAATTCCTTGCTGCATTCCGGGCTCTGCAGGGCGGGTGCCCGTGCAGATCCGTGTGATGGAAGGATCCTCAAGCTGCCTGGGAGCAAATCTCCTTCCCTGACTGCCGTGGGGACATCACCAACACCCCTGTGGCCAGCTCTGTTCCCTGCAGATGGAGAATCCAGAGTGCAGCCCACGTGTCCTGGGAGCACACACACCCCATGGAGAACACAAGGCAGACTGAGTGGAGAAGCAGGGGAATTCTCTTTTATTTGATAATTCCTGTGGGACCTTGGGGTCTCTGCAGATGCAGCTGGAGCATTTCTGCAGGGCTGCAAGTGCCTGGGTAGGAAGCAGAGGCTGTTAGTGGGGCTGTCATTGTCTGTGGTGTTGTGGGCTGGGGTGGGTCATGGAATCAGAATATCCTGAGCTGGAAGGGATCATCCAGTCCAACTCCTGGCCCTGCACAGACACCCCAACAATCCCACCCTGGGCCTGAGGGTGTTGTCCAAATGCTCCTGGAGCTCTGGCAGCCTTGGGGCTGTGACCATTCCATGGGAAGCCTGTACAGTGCCCCACCACCCTCTGTGGGAAGAAATTTTCCTGATATCCAACCTAAACCTGCCCTGACAGCTCCAGCCATTCCCTGTCACTGCCACTGAGAGCAGAGATCGAAGCTGTACCCTCCATGAGGTCTCCCCTCAGCCTCCTCTTCTCCAGGGTCAGTACAGCAACATTTAGATTTCTGTTTACCATTTCAGAGGGAAAACAAGAGGCCTGTGGTTATATTAACCAAGCAGGTGGTCTAAGCAAATTAGTGAATCCTGACGATTCCCGAGTTCAAAGGAAGCAGTTGCTCATCTCTGTGGAAGCTATCTGATAACATATTTAGCTGAAGAAAGGATGAGTGTATCCACCAGCACACAATGGCCCAGATTTCCTAGCTCATTAAACCCAAATATTAGTGAAAATACCATGGTAAGCAGGCTGAGATAATTAAACACAACATCACTTCCATTTGTTTCTAAACACAGTGTGGGAATTGGGCACTGGGATGGCAGCATTTCTCTTACCTTGGGTGGTGAAGTGGAGCTGTAAAATTCACAGAGAAAAACACCCTTCAAAAAGCAAACTCACACCAAAAAGAAATAGAATAAAGTTAAAAAGTAAACAATAAAACCTGTGTGGGTCTGTATTTCCAAACTGGATGAGGCAGATATTAAAAAATCACAGAATCCTTGAAGAATTTTGGTTGGAAGGGACCTTAAAGACCATCTTCCAGCCTTAACATGACCTTCCACATGGATCAGCTCCCAGTGTGGACGAACAACCACTGCTTCTTAAGCCCTGTTAGTAGCAAATGAAGTGTTGCACAGCCCAAATCCTGTGAAAGCAGCATGGGCTGACTCCTGTGATGCTGGAGGCAGTGATCACTGGGTGATGGAGGATGAGGGCTGTAGGAAAAGCACATTTAACCCTCTGGCTTGAGCTGCAACCGCAGATCTGACAGGGAAAGAGGAGTGGCAGCATCTGGGTGCAAACACCTGGGGAAAGGAGCACTGGGAAATACTGGTGAGCATGGAAAGGCTGCTCACATTGTGTTTGTTCAGCCATTGTCAAGGGGGTGCTGTGGGAAGATCCCATGTCCTCTCTGAAATGCTGGGAGAGCACGGACATTGCCTCTGCAGCAGTGTCAGCTCTGCCCTGCACGCTGGATGAGCTGGCTCACAGGGACCCCAGGGACACAGAGCCAGCAAAATAAATCAGCTTAACTAATGGTGCTCAAAAAACCACCCCTGGCAAATGTAGCACAGGCTCTCGTGCCTGGAGACGCCAACAGAACGGTGATGAAGAGGAGCTGAGGGAGAAGGGGATGCAAAAAGGGTTGTGAAAGATTTCCCATACATTTCACTGGGCTCTGCCAGTTTCAAACAACCCCTTGAATATAAACATGGCAACATCTGATCAACAGCAAGTGAGTATTTGCAGAATGTGCCTTTGCAGGACTGAGATCTCTGTGCATGTTGGCCTTCAGGGCAGCCTGGTTATCAGTGCTGGATTGTGGGGCTCTGGATGTCCCATTCCATCCTTTCCAGCCATTGGCACGGGCAGGGAGATCAGCTCCACTCACACCTGGCATGGGTCTGCACCCCTGAGTAGCTCTGGGCCCCTCTTCATGCACCCCTAAAAGCCTGCCAGCACGGTAACTCCCTGCATGGCTGTATCCCATAGCCAGCCTCATGTTTACCTACAACACTTGGATTTTTCCAACCATTTCCAGCCAGCACTGAGAGCAGCTTGTTGTAGGACTTGGAGCTGACTGAGGCTGTGTTGCAAGCAGATGGCCCTGATGAAACAAGACACTGATCCCCAAGGAGGCACCGTGCAGCAGAGCTGCTCGACTCCCCGGCTCCAAGGCAGCCTTGGAAATGTGCATTAGCACGCACCATCGAGGAAATTGCTTCCTAACCACCCCTCTCAAGAAACTCTCTTTGGAAGCCTGGTTCCAGCCTGAGACACGTGGCAGCAGCACTGACACTGTGGCAGTTT